CAAATGGTTGAGGGCCTTAAGAGAAAAAAATGAACCAGGTATGGTGGTGCATGGCTGTAAGCCTTGCACTCAGGGGGTTAAGGCAGGAAGAGTGTCATGAGTTCAAGGCCAGTCTGGTTTGCATAACAAGAGCCTGTATAAAAAAAGAGAGAGAGAGAGAGAGAGGTTAAAACCAGGAAAGACAAGGCTGGATGGGAAGGTGTGGCGAGGTGGAGGATTTAGGACCCGCAGGATTTTGAGTGCAGGCTCGGGGGAAAGAGTGGGGGTGGGTGGGTGAGGAATGAAGTTTAACGGAGGTTGACTGTGGTGGACACGGGCTGGAGGAGATGTTAAGCCGAGTAAGATGGGGAAATTTATGCAGGGCCACTCATGCCAAGCTGAGCTAGACCCTGGAATGGAGAGCGGGCTGCTGCTTCCAGCTTGCATCATGTGCCCTCAGGCAGAGGCTTCTTCTTCCCAGAATTCCCTGCCTAGGCCTGCTCCAGTGAGCTCTATGACTCAGCTCAGACACTGAGCTTCTGACGCTAGTGTCCTGGGAGCACTAAGGGACCCCCTTCTTTGTGCGCCTTCTGCGCCTCAGACCAGAGCTTTGAAAGGTGTCTGGAAGGAGCGGGTTTTGTCACTTTGGTATTTTCCCACCGACTCCACCAAATTATAAACTCCTTAAAGAGATACAGTGTCTTTCTACATGGTGACCCCCAAAGCCACCAGCAAGTAAGTGTCGCTAATACAGCACTCAGTATGCTTTAGAGTGAATAAATTAGTGGACAAACCAGTGGGAGTTTACTGCTGGCTTGAGGTGAGAAGGACTGGGCTAAGGTTAGATTTATGGGAATGGAAATAAAGTTTAAAAAATATAAAAAAACAGCCGAGGGAGCAGTACATGCCTGTAATCGCAGATACTCAGGAGAGGCAGGAGGACTGTAAGTCTGGCAACATAGTGAGACCCTGTCTCAAAATAAAATTTAAAAAAGAAGGCTAGGAGTGCAGCTCAATTACAACACTTGCCTAGCACACATGGGCCCTGGGTTCAATCCCAGTACCACATAAAAAGGAAAGAGGGAGAGAAGGTGGGAGGGAGTGAGGGAGAGAGAGAGATTGGGTATTGGGTATGGTGGTCAAAGAGCCGAGAAGAATTCAAACTATGGCAGAGAGATGCTAGCAATGCTGATGGTACCAGGGAGGTCCCAAGGGGGTGCTGACTCTTAGGGCTGCAGCATAGGCAGCTAGCTGAGGCTTTGTGCCCTGCACCCTCCATTACCTGAGCAGGTCTTGTTCATCTTCATCTTTCTGTTGCTCCTGGAATTCCAAACATTTCAGGATCAAGGGAATGAAGGTCAAAGGGAAAGGAACAGAACATTAAACGTATATTTCTTTTTTTTTTTTGGTTTTTCTCAGGTACCGGGAACCGAACTCACGACCTTGCACTTGCCAGGCAGGCGCTTTTGCCGCTGAGCTAAATCCCCAGCCCCTAAACTTATATTTCAAACCTTATTCCTAGTTAGATTTTTCCCAATGCAGAAGCTTTAGAGGCAGATATAAACTTGGAAAGGGCCAGCTGTGGCTATATTGGGCGGGTGTGATGCATATTAAATTTCTGGAAGGAAAGGGGGAAGAGGAAGGTGGGGTGGGAGGTGGGGAGCAGAGCCCACGCTGCGGGCCTTGCTGCGGGGGAGGGCATGTGACTGCGTCTGTGCTGTCCAGCTTCTCAGCCGTTTATTTTATTTACTAGCTTGCATGTTGTTGCCAGTGGGCAAAGACTGATAATTGCAACCAGACTAGGACCTGCCTGAGTGAGGAGAGAAACCATCCCTCAGGCTTCCTTTGGGAAGCAGAAGAAAAGGAGCTAAATGTCTGCACAAAGCAGTTATTGAGGTAACAGTGAAGCCAAAGTGAAGCCTCCTTTTCTTGCACCCTTCTGGCCTGGCTGCACATGCCAGACCACGCTAGGGAGACACAGCTTCCCAGCTGGTCTCTCCCAAGCTCTTCTCCCTCTCTTCAGATCAACGGGCGTGCAACAGCCAGCATGACCTTTTCAAAATGTGAATTGCATCACACCGTTTAAAACACTCCTCAAACTCCCACTACATGTGCTGAAATCGCTTTTCAGGGCTTCCCAGGCCCTGTCCACTTCTTCTTCTCTTCTGCTGCCACCTGTTCTTTCCTACTGGCTTCCTGTTCTTTCTCTAAACTCACCACGCTTTCCTGTTCTTTCTCTAAACTCACCACGCTTCTCCCTCTGGGTAAGGCTTCCTTTGTGAGCCCATTTGTCCCCTGACCTGCCTAACACTTCTCTACTTTCTTTTTTTCAACAAGGCCTGACTATGTAGTCTAGGCTGGCCTTGAGCTCACCATGTAGCCCAGGTTGTCCTCAAACTCAGGGTGATCCTCCTGCCTCCGCCTCCCAAACACTGGAATTACGGGCGTGGGTCACAATACTCAGCCACTTCTCCACTTTTTGTCTAGCTATTGCCTATTTATCCTTCAGGTGTTAATCTCCTGACCTCCTGTAATTTTTTTTGTGGTATTAGAGGGGGCTTCTGCAGCTATTAAAAGCTGTCCGTACCAGTGATTGCCAGGAGACCCAGTAATCCTTGTTCCCTTCTCCCTCTGGAGCCAAGAGCCTAATTTTGTTTCGACTCCTGGCTAATAAGAAACGAGATCGAATTGCCCAGCCTCTCTTGTGGCTGGGCATGGCTGTGGGACTGAGTTGTGGCCAATGAACAGAAGGTATCCCTTAAAAAGTAAATATAAAAAAATCAGTGGTTTAGGCTGGGCATGGCGGTACACATCTGCGATCCCAGTGCTCTGGGAAGCTGAAGCAGAAGGGCTGAAAATCTGAGCCCAGCTTGGGCAACCCAGTCTGTGGCCTAACCACTTCAGGCACTCAAAAAGTTGTTCCAAAATATGATGGTCAGCCGGGGATGTAGCTCAGTGGCACAGCGCCTGCCTGATAAGTGCAAGGTCCTGAGTTCAATTCCCGGTACTAAAAGGAAAAAAACCCAAAATATGTTGGTCTGTTCGAATCCAGCATTGTCTAGCTCTGCAGTGTGATAGCTTGCCCAGAAATTTGCTAATTACCGTGTAATACACAGAGTGATGCATTCTTTAGCACTGGGTAGCTAAGTCTTTATCTTGGGTTAATACTTTTCTACCTCTAACTCAAGTTACAATTCATAAGACAAGTTATACAAGCTTAAATACTGTGCAGTTCCTCTTATAGGAGAACCCCAAAATACACATGAAGAGCAAAGTAAAAGACAGATAATAGGAAGTAGGGAGAGAGATCTTTCTCAAATGGGAAGAGGATCCAGAGATGGGGCCAGGGGTGTGTGGTGGCACACGCTTGTAATCCCAGCACTCGGGAGGCTGAGGCAGGAGGATCGTTATGAGTTTGCGATCAGCCAGGGCTGCAAAATGAGCTCAAGGCCAGCCTGAACTGCATAGCAAGACCCTGTCTCAAAAAGTCAGAAAGACAAAAAAGAAAAAAAAATCCCCCAGAGGGGTGGGAGGGGAGAGGCAGGGGCTGAAAGAAGAATGAAGCTGTGTTATATGTAAACAATACATACTGAGAACATGCACTAAGAAAAAGTTTTTTTAAAGAGTCAATGAGACAAGTTAATATTTATTTAGAGTTTACCCATGTCCATCTCTAAGTGTGCTGAGCAGCAGGCTAAAGACCTGATCCATCTAGGCTCGTTTAATCCTGACAATATCTGGGTTCCACTATATGGGTCTGAAAACTGAGGCCCAGAAACATTAGGTAATGGCTCAAAGGTCGCCAAGCAGTGACGGCCCAGGCCTGTGTGTGCTCTTCACCACTATGAGAGGTTGCCTCCTCTCAGTACTTGTTTTCAGTTTACTACCAGCACACAGCAAGAAAGGTGAAGACAAGCATAATGGCGCATTGCTGTAATCCCAGTCCTTGGGAGGCTGAGGTATGAGGATTGCCATGAGTTTGAGGCCAGCCTGGGTTTGAAGCCAACCTGAACTATACAGTAAAACCCTGTGTAAAAAAAAAAAAAAGGCGACTTGTTTTGCCGTGAGATTTGTTGGTGTAAACGGTTCCTGTTGTGACAAAAATCTCTTCTCTCTGACAGCTCATTTTTCTCTTGCTCACCTATTTCTGTTCTTTTATACCACAAACGACATGCACTAGGACCTGGACTTCACTTAACCTTTGCTGTCTGCTCATGGTATCCTTTGGTCTAATTCTCTCATTCTTGTACCAGGACTCAAACTCATGACCTTATGCTTTCCAGGCAGGTGCTGTGCCACTGAGCTAAACCCCCAGCTCCTGCAGAGCTACTCTTCAGTGCCTGCTATGTTTACGGTGTGGTGGAGACCAGGCAAAGGGGCGAGGGGAAGGCGGCCTGAGTCAAAGATAAAGACTGGGGACTGTGTGGTAGCATGTGCCCCTCTTCCTGTGCTCAATAACCAAGGGACTTGGTTTTTGGGTCTCCTGGCCCAGAGCATCGGGGCTGCAGGAGGGGGCTTCAGTGGCTGGCCTGATTTGAGTCATGTACCTGAAGCGTTTCTGCTGATGCAAGTCCTCAAAGATCCGAGAGACGGCTTCACTCTCGCCCCTGCCCATCAGCTGCATGAAGCTCTCGCTGGGCTGGCAGGCTTGGAGTTTCTTCTGTATTAACTGTATGGAGAACAAACAAACAAGTGCATCTCTACGTTTTCTTACTATCGTGATCCAGACTCTTGGGTATCACACAGCCAACAGGAAAAAAATTAATTTCACCTCAAACTCTCCCATTGGGCAGTCACACCCCCTGCCGTGGCGACCTGAGACCTTATCTGTTTCTACCCCTGTATTGGTATAAATATCCTTTGGTGCCCTAAGGGTAATACCTTCATTGAATAATTTAGTAGATAACCTATTCCTATTAGTATACCTTAATATAGTTTATTGGATAGCCTAGTAATGTATACTTTAATAAAGTTTATGCTACTTCGTTTTGTACTTAAATGTAAGGATATGATATACTTATTAAGAGAATTTAATGAATGCTTTTTTTAAAATTTTTTTTTATTTTTTTGAGACAGGGTCTTGCTATGCAGTTCAGGCTGGCCTTGAGCTCACTTTGTAGCCCAGGCTGGTCTCAAACTTGGTTGTCAAACGATCCTCCTGCCTCAGCCTCCAGAGTGCTGGGATTACAGGCTTGCACTATCATGCCCGGCTCAATGAATGCTTTCAAAATTAATTTATCTAAGAAAAATGCTATAGGAAACTGCCTTTTTTTTGTACAGGAATTGAACTCAGGACCTTGCACTTACCAAGTAGGTGCTGTGCCTCCGAGCTATATTCCTGGCCTGGAAGCTGCTTTTTATAGCTGAGTAAAATTAATTTCTCTCCTGTTGCCTGTGTGATACCCAAGGTGCTCCAGTGGTACATGCTGGCCACACTCATTTATTCGTTTGTCAATTAGTCATTCATTTAGCATTTATTGAATGCCAACTTCCTTCTAGATAGTAGCCATTATAGCAGTTAAAGAAGACATAAAAATCTACCTTCATAGAGTTTGTGTTATAGCTCAAGTCAGATTCACATCTTTTCTGCTCAAAGGCCTAAAGTAAAAAGTCCAGGTGGCTTCACTGGTGAAATCTATCAAAAATTTAAAGAAGTAATAAAAATCCTTCAAAAACTCATTCAGAAACTAAGTCAGGAAACTAGAGGAACAGGAAACACTTCCTGACTCACAAAAGGAGCCTAGAGTTAACTTGAAACAGCCAGAGTTTCACAAAGATCCCAAGAAAACTATAGACCAGTACCTCTCATGAATACAAGTGCAAAAATCATCTACACAATGATAGTAAACAGAATACTGTAACATAGAAAAAGGGTTATATGGACCACAAACAAATGGAATTTATTATAAGATATAAAGTTGGTTTAACATAGAAAAATCAGTTAATGTAATAGAATATATCATCAGGATAAAGGAAAGACCACATGATCATCTTCATAGATGCAGAAAAGCATTTAACAAAACTCAATAGTCATTTGACGAAAACTCTCAATAAAGAAAGAATGAAGGGCTGGGCGTGGTGGCGCACGCCCGTAATCCCAGCACTCAGGAGGCTGGGAGGATGGTCACTGCAAGCCCGTCGCCAGCCTGGACTACGTAGTGAGTTCAAGGCCAGCCTGAACTGCATAGTGAGACCTTGTCTTCAAACAACAACAACAACAGCAGAATGAAGGGCACATCCTCAACTTGATAAAGGGCATTTGCAAAAAATCCCACAATTAGCACCTTACATAAACAATGAAAGACTAAATAAGTACGTCTCTGCTAAGATTGGAACAAGGTGACAACATCTGCCTTTGCCTCTAGCTTTGTACTGCAGTGTTCCAGCTAATGCAATAAAGTCATGAAGAAACAAATCCCGATTGGAGATAAAGAAGTAAAACTGTCTTTACTGGCAGATGACATTGAATATATATATGAATATATTATATATATGAATATGCATGTTTTCCAATCTAAGCCACAAAACTACTATAACTAACATACAGGATTAATACTCAAAATCAATTATATTCTTTCTTTTGTCTTTTTGAGATAGGGTCTCACTATGCAGTTCAAGCTGGCCTTGAGCTCACTTTGCAGCCCAGGCTGACCTCCAGTTCACAACGATCCTCCTGCCTCAGCCTCCCAAGTGCTGGGATTACAGGTGTGTGCCACCACGCCTGGCCTATATTTCTGTATACTGTCAATGACTGACACAAAAATGAAATGAAGAAAGCACAGTTCTGCTCACAATAGCATCAACAGAAATAAAATACTGAGGAATGCATTTAGGAAAAAAATGTAGAACTTCACTTACTGAAAACCACAAAATATTTCTAAGAAAAATTAAAGACGATCAAAATACAAAAGGTGATCAAAATATACAGTGAACATTTAAATTTTAAAATTGACTACAGTAAAAGGCACATTGGCATTAACCCCCTTCAAAATCTTCCCCTTGCTTCAAACATTTATCCCATTATTCTTGGCATTTTCTGAAGCAGTTCTGGAAGAAAATACTCTTTCATTTAGTATCTTTACAAGGTGTGATAAAAATATATGGTTGGGGTC